CCGAGGTTTGAAATCCATGGCCACACACAGGCAAACCCAGTGATTTCTAAAGGGCTCTGTGCAGGATCCCATTGACTCACTACAGTTACCAATATTGGCCTTCAGTCCACAGACACCTACACGTGTGAATGATTTCATTAATGTAAGTAACGTTTTGTTTAATACTGTTTTGTTTGTTTCTTTGCATCCTTAACTAGTTACATAACAGTGCTTTTCTACTATGCTCTGACTTATGCACAGTACAGAAAGAATTCTATATACGCAGTCTTTGTTACTCTCAAGATTCCCTTTAGGAGCATTAGGACTTCTCTCATTTCTCATCTAGCTCCAATTAATTCCATACTTGTACAGAATGCCACTCTAATCCATAAAGCCTCTTTGCATGAGTGCCTGTATGTCAGCAGTTTTCAGATTCTATCTTTGAAGGCAAGTTCTTAACTGGTTAAAAACAGCCAAACTACCAAATGCATTTAGCCAATCATGGGGGACACATCTTTGAGAAGACTATACGAGTCATATTCTAACAGCATACTAAATGCAAAAAGCCCACAGAAACACTATTTTCAGGTCTACCGAATTAGCCACAGTACATTTTGTTTACATTAGAAACATAAGGAGCAGTCACTAAGAATCTTGATTACTATACCAATGAGAAGCAAACTGCTGTGTATTTACAAAGATGTCATTATAAATCACAAACTTCACCCCAAAAAACAGATAAACAGATATATTTCCCTGTATTGTAAAAACTGGCCATTCAGTTTAAACCTAACAGGAACTAATCTCAATGAACAGGACACTGCATTTACAGAATCTACACTCGCATGGCCTGGCTGCCAAACCATACTGGTGAAATTCATAAAGCAAAAACGTATCCTTGAGCTTTGGTCCACTCTTGATTTTATTTGGTTTTCAGATATGAGAAGAATTCAATGACTCCTCAGGCAATGCTTTCTATTGCAGCTGGATAACAGCTTTCTAAATGACAGACAGAAAAATGTGCTTCCACTGTGCTGCAGGAACCTCCAGCAAGATTCTGCAAACCTTGATTTAAAAGCAAAGAAATCAGATGGAAATGAGCAAGAGGCAGAATGAAAGGCAGAAGGAAGTATTATTTTGAGGAAAATACTTCTGGTATAACTACATTTCACCAGTTCACTCAGTCAAGGAGTTTAAACACAACTCTACAAATTAGACTAAAGATTCACTACCACTACATTTCCTTCTTGCCTCTTACCTTAAGCTCCCTTATTTTTATTTTTTATTATCATCTACAAGTAGAAAATCAGTTCCAGAAACATATAAACTCACATTAATGAGAAGTAAACACACTCATGCTCTATATTCTTTCCTTAACACTTAGCAACCAATAGTCATGTTTTCCCTGCTATCACTTCATACCCTTTCACAAGATCAATTCTTCCTCTTTCCTGCTATTTCCATTGTGACAAATTATCATTCATTCCTATATCCTAGCTATCTGAGAGGGAAGAACAGAGGTCAAGGAAATATTCTGGCCATGAAAGACAAAACTTAAAATTCACTTCAACTAGGACTTTGCTTCTAAATCTATTCATTTACCAGTATCCCAGGATCCTGACAACCGATCTCACTAGCTCTCAGCACTCAGATAGGACAGGGCTGCAAAAGGCTATCATCTGAGAAGTACACGATTCTCCCAGTAGTTACAAAGCTTAGGTCATGTTTTCACTAAGACAAAGAAGCTAACTCTGGCTAAGACCAGAGTTTTGGGTCACACAGACTAAGCCTTGCCCAACAGCTGCAGAAGAAACCGAAGCACTTTTCAGGAAGAATTCTAGAGCTAATATAAATTAGAGGTGCCAGTGTATTCTTGCCCTGGTTTCAGCTGGGATAGAGTTAATTTTCTTCCTACTATCTGTTTTGGATTCAATACAAGAATAATGTTGACAGCACACTGGATTTTTAACTGTTAGTAAAGTAGCAGCTACCCTGAGCCAAGGACTTTTCAGTTTCCTGTGCTCTACCAGTTAGCAGATGCACAGGAAGTTGAGAGGGGACATAGCTAGGACAGCTGACCCAAACTGGTCAAAGTGATACTCCATACCATAGAGCATCATGCCTAGTATACCAACAGGAGGAAGTTGGCTGGGGGCTGTCACTTGTTGCTTGCAGATGGGCACTGATCAGTGAGTGGTGAGCAACTGTATAGCGCATCATTTGTTCCTCTGGGGTTTTACCCCACTCCTTCTCCTTTTCATCACAATGATAATTATAATATATA